AGCTGCAGGGTCTGGATAGGGCTTGTCATTGTCTGGGGCTGATTAAGTCGATGGTCAATGTATCCTCCTTGTGTGAAAGACAATAGATCGTCCTTTAACGTATATAATTCGCTTTTAAATTTACTAATGTTTTCCATTTGTACCTCTTGCCATTGTTGTTGATTTTCCTGTAGTTGCTGCTGACTTTCTTCCTGTTTCCTTTCTTGTTCCAGTTGCCACTGCTGTAATCTCTCTTCTTGTTTCTTTTCTCGTTCTTCTTGTTTATTTTCTTTTTCATCCAACAACTGCTGTAATCTCTCTTGTTTATTTTGCTGTTCGAGCTGCCATTGTTGTAGGTTTTCTTGCCACTGCTGTAATCTTTCTTCTTGTTTCTTTTCTCGTTATTCTTGTTTCTTTTCTTTTTCCTCTAACAACTGCTGTAATCTCTATTCTTGTTTAATTTCTCGTTTTTCTTGTTTCTTTTCTTTTTCCTCTAACAACTGCTGTAATCTCTCTTCTTGTTTCTTTTCTCGTTCTTCTCGTTTCTTTTCTTTTTCCTCCAACAACTGCTGTAATCTCTCTTGTTTATTTTGTTGTTCAAGCTGCCACCATTGCAGGTTTTCTTGCAACTGCTGTTGTCTTTTTTCTTGTTTCTTTTCTTTTTCCTCTAACAAGTGTTGTAATTTCTCTTCTCGTTCTCCTTGTTTCTTGTTTATTTTCTCGTTCTTCTTGTTTCTTTTGCTGTTCTTGTATTGCTGCCATCAAGTCTGTTATGCTGTAGTTTGATTTGCCACTTCTCGTTTCCATTTTTTGTCCCACTCTCTGACACCAATTTCTTACGTCTCCGTTTGTTAATTAACTTTCCGTAACTTCGTTTTGACGAAACTTTAGCGACACAAGTCCTTACTTAATAAAACTGGTTTATTCTTTCTGAATATAACTTCACGATACACTTGATTTCAACGTTCGCGCTAAAACAAACGCTATAACGAACGTTAACTTCAACAATACTTCCTCACTGCAGATCAATTACTCACTACCTACACACATATTGTCACGTCACGCCGTGAGCATCTTATATATACCAGACTACCCTATATCTAGTAAATGCTAGGGCATTCACGAAGGAACAAGATACTTCTAGAAACGTGGCGTGACACTAGTCACGTGACCTCGCTGACGCAACAATATATTTAATTATTTTCAAGCCCATTTTCTCAGTAATTAAAATTTTTATGCTTTCTTTCTAAGTACATTTATTTTTTCAAACCCACTTTCCAGATACATTTAATTACTTAACCTTTAATTTCTAAGTATATTTAATTATTTTCAGGTCTATTTTCTCAGTAATTACATTTTCTAGGTCGACCTAATAAGTACTTTTTTTAGGCCTACTGAAGACCCAGACAGACAATCAAGGAGGAGAAATTCTTCCTGGGTCACCTAATGCTGAGTCAGATTTCTGCAGCGATGTGGCTAATAATAACATTTGTTTTATGGCAGGTAAACTAATATATGCCAGCTCATATATTCTTTCATCGAATAATTTCTATCTAACCTCAATGTTATGACATTTTATCTTCGTGGTATAATTCAAATATCCCAATCATACCACTAACTGATTAAGCATTTATTTATTTACTGTATATGCATATATATATATATATATATATATATATATTGCTCTTATCTCAATATCTCCAACACCATCTGTGCCATTTTTGTTTATTTTACTCATAATTAATTGCTTTTTTATTGAAGTGTTTAAAAAATAGACACCAAGATTATTTTTATTCCACTCATGACCAGAAAAACCTGCTACAGAATATTTTTACGTGACTTATATACCAGGTAGAATTATAATGATATTTTGCTTCTCTTAAGTATCTGCTTGTTTGTTAATTTCCGGTAGAATTTCT